ATTGACTGCATAAGGGTTTAATTTGTGGGTTTTAGTTGAATTTTATCGTGGACTGCTTCTGCCATTTACCAACCATGTGATTTAAATACTGTTTTAGGTGAGGCGGATGATTTGTCTGTAACTTGTGGGGGTATTTCCATTTCCTGGAGAGGTGATGGAAAGTATTTTGCGACTATGGGTGAGGTTTATGAATCCGGTTGTATGTCTAAGAAGATTAAGATATGGGAAAGTGATTCCGGCACTTTGCAGTCTTCTTCAGAAACAAAAGAGTTTACGCAGGGGATTCTTGAATGGATGCCGAGTGGTGCTAAAATCGCAGCTGTTTATAAGAGGAAGTCAGATGATAGCAGTCCATCAATTGCTTTCTTCGAGAGGAATGGACTTGAGAGGAGCTCGTTTAGAATTGGTGAACCAGAAGATGCTACGGAATCATTTGAAACTCTGAAATGGAATTCGGCATCAGATCTTCTTGCAGGAGTTGTTAGTTGCAAAACATATGATGCCATTAGGGTGTGGTTCTTTAGCAACAACCACTGGTACCTGAAACAGGAGATTAGGTATCCAAGGGAAGCTGGGGTAACGGTCATGTGGGATCCAACAAAGCCACTGCAGTTAATATGTTGGACTCTGTCAGGGCAGGTGTCTGTTCGCAACTATATGTGGGTAACAGCGGTCATGGAGGACTCCACAGCGTTTGTCATAGATAACTCCAAGATACTCGTGACACCACTATCTTTGTCCTTGATGCCACCTCCTACGTATTTGTTCAGCCTTAGTTTTTCTTCTGCTGTCAGAGATATAGCATATTACTCAAGGAATTCTAAGAATTGTCTGGCTGTGTTTTTGTCAGATGGAAACCTGTCTTTTGTTGAGTTTCCTGCACCTAATACTTGGGAAGATCTCGAAGGCAAAGACTTCATTGTGGAAATATCAGACTGTAACACAGCACTGGGCTCTTTTGTACATCTTCTATGGTTGGATGCCCACTCACTTCTGTGTGTCTCCGCTTATGGTTCTAGCCACAACAAGTGTCTCTCTTCGGGAGCGTATGAGACAGAGCTTCATGGTTCTTATTTACAAGAAGTCGAAGTAGTCTGTCACGAGGATCATGTTTCTGATCAAGTGACTTGCTCTGGCTTTAAGGCTAGCGTTGCTTTCCAGACACTTCTCGAATCACCGGTCCTGGCTCTTGCCTGGAATCCTAGTAAGCGTGATTCAGCCTTTGTAGAGTTTGAGGGTGGGAAAGTGCTTGGATATGCATCAAGGTCAGGAATTATGGAATCTCGTATTAGTGATGATAGTGTATGTTTTCCATCGACTTGTCCTTGGGTGAGGGTGGCGCAGGTTGATGCTAGTGGGGTGCATAAACCCTTGATATGTGGGCTTGATGATATGGGTAGACTGTACATCAACGGGAAGAACCTATGTAATAACTGTAGCAGTTTCTCATTTTATTCAGAGTTGGCCAATGAAGTGGTTACCCATCTGATTATTTTGACCAAACAGGATTTTCTCTTTATTGTCGATACCAAGGATGTACTGCAGGGAGATGTGGCACTTGGAAATGTGTACTTTGTTATTGATGGTAGAAGGCGAGATGAGGAAAATATGAGCTATGTTAATATATGGGAAAGAGGTGCAAAAGTGATAGGAGTCCTCAATGGAGACGAAGCTGCTGTAGTATTACAAACTATGCGGGGGAATCTGGAATGCATATATCCCAGAAAGCTGGTCCTCTCTTCCATTACGAATGTGTTAGCTCAGCAACGGTTCAAAGATGCATTAAACTTGGTAAGGCGTCATAGAATCGACTTTAATGTTATCGTGGATCTATATGGGTGGCAGGCATTTCTACAGTCAGCTGTAGAATTTGTTGAGCAAGTAAACAATTTGAACCATGTTACAGAATTTGTTTGTGCCATGAAGAATGAAGATGTTACAGAAACACTGTACAAAAAATTTTCCTTTTCCAAAAAGGGAGACAAAGTTTTTGAAGTGAAAGATCGTTGCAGTAACAAAGTATCATCAGTTCTACTGGCAATTAGGGAGGCCCTTGAAGAACATATACCAGAGAGTCCATCAAGGGAACTCTGTATTTTGACCACTCTTGCCCGAAGTGATCCACCAGCTATTGAAGAATCTCTTTTGAGGATAAAATCTGTTCGTGAATTGGAGTTGCTAAACTCTTCTGATGATATAAGGAAAAAGTCTTGTCCATCTGCAGAAGAAGCCTTGAAACATCTACTGTGGTTATTGGATTCTGATGCTGTCTTTGAAGCTGCCTTAGGTCTTTATGATCTGAACCTTGCAGCTATTGTGGCACTCAATTCCCAGCGTGATCCAAAAGAATTTTTACCTTATCTCCAGGAGCTAGAAAAAATGCCCGAATCCCTGATGCATTTCAAGATTGACATTAAATTGCAGCGTTTTGATAGTGCTCTTAGGAACATTGTATCAGCAGGGGATGCCTACTTTCCTGATTGCATGAACTTAATAAAGAAAAACCCTCAACTTTTCCCACTGGGCCTCCAGCTAATTACCGATCCTGAGAAGAAACAAGCTGTTCTAGAGGCTTGGGCAGATCATCTCATTGATGAAAAACGTTTTGAGGATGCTGCTACTACGTACCTATGTTGCTGTAAACTGGAAAAGGCTTCAAAGGCATATCGTGAATGTGGTGACTGGAGTGGGGTACTCAGAGTGGGGGCGCTAATGAAATTAGGTAAAGATGAGATCTTGAAATTGGCATATGAACTCTGTGAAGAGGTGAACGCTCTTGGGAAACCAGCGGAAGCAGCAAAAATAGCTCTTGAGTATTGCAGAGATATAAGCGGTGGAATTAGTTTGCTTATCAATGCGAGGGAATGGGAAGAGGCTTTAAGGGTTGCATTTTTGCATACAACAGATGATAGAATCTCAGTGGTGAAGAGTTCTGCTCTGGAGTGTGCTAGTGGTCTAGTAAGTGAATTCAAAGAATCAATAGAAAAGGTAGGAAAATATTTGACTCGCTATTTAGCTGTTCGGCAGAGACGATTATTGCTTGCAGCAAAGCTCAAATCTGAGGAACGGTCAGTAGTTGATCTGGACGATGACACAGCTTCAGAAGCTAGTAGCAACCTGAGTGGAATGAGCGCCTATACTTTGGGGTACTCCTTGCATTTGTCTTACTCTCTCAGTCTTTATTTTTGTGGAATTTTTCTCAGCTGATCTAACCTATTTAAAACTAAAACAGAGCTGAATTAGGTATTGATCGCTTTTAGAAACAGGAGCTCATATTTGGGTTTTTCTGATGACTTCAACATGTTTTCTGATTGTATCCTCCTCGATTAACCAGCATCTAATTATATGCATGAAGATTCCAAAATATATGATTTTGTATTGGTAACGTGATAAGTTTCCGGGTGGGGCTTTAGTGCATGATTATTGAGCCTGCTAACTGAGAGCTGACGATTCAAAAGGAGATTTGGTCATGTTCTGGATTCTATGGTTTTGATTAAGCATTGGAAGGGACAAGATTGTTGACAAGTCTTAACATAAAAGTTGTAGGCATTGGGTAGAGAATTAGGACTTCTCTGGGGAGTCAAAGTCTCTATAATGTAGTTGTTTTGTGGATTAAATAGGGAAACAGTTACCTAGTTGGGATCTTAACTTAAAAGTTGTTGTTTTCTATGCTATTATTCCAGGACAAGGAGAGGTTCTGCTGCTTCAGTGAGCTCAAGCACGGCTACTAGCAGGGCAAGAGATTTGAGGCGCCAGAGAAAGAGCGGGAAAATTCGTGCTGGCAGGTATATATACATCTCTTATGCAAATTGATTGGTACCAATGGTGAGCAAAAATGTAAATGAATAAATTGGGGTAAAAATGCAGTGCGGGTGAAGAGATGGCTCTTGTTGATCATTTGAAGGGTATGCGTATGACCGAAGGTGGAAAGCGAGAGCTGAAGTCGTTGTTGATATGTCTGGTTACAGTTGGTGAAATGGAGTCTGCACAGAAGTTGCAACAGACTGCAGAGAATTTCCAGGTCTCGCAAGTAGCAGCTGTAGAGCTAGCACACGATACAGTGTCCAGCGAGAACGTAGACGAAGAAGTTTATTGCTTTGAACGTTATGCTCAGAAGACGAGATCCACAGCAAGAGATTCAGATGACTTTAGCTGGATGCTTAAGGTCTTCATTAGCCCATGAAAATCTCTACATCTGTTTTTGACTGAATAAGCTATATGAACAAGCTTGTGATTTTATACATCAAACCTTCCTCTCTACCGTTTTGGTTCTTTCCTATTGTTGCCGTTTTGGAACTTCACAACAGCTTGTGACTTCGCATCTGCTACATTTTTGTTCATCGCTTAGATTTCTGTGTTGCACGAGATAAGGCTTATTGGAAAATGACCAATGCTCCATCTGATTATAAAAGATCAAATTCAATTTATTTTCATTAATTAAAATGAGTTGGTGATAAAATACAAATTGTAATAAACAATTAAGCTTACACCAAAGAAAGAAAAAGACAAGATACAAACCAATCATGCCACCGATGCAGTACATAAACCAGCCTAAAATAAGTGAAACGGCAATCTATATTAAAAGAGACAAAAAGGCTTGTTGGCTTGCAAAGAAAACCCAAGATCTTTAACCAAAAAAAAGAAAAAGGACCCAAGACCTAGGGCTTGATTGGTTCTCCCGTTAGTCAATGTCATTTGTTTTACTAGTCGCCACATCTTTTCTCAAATAAGAGACTCCGCACATGGACCATGGTCAACTCCATGATTCACACACAACAAAAAGTCGAACTCCAATAGTACTGTTCATCAATCAGTATCAACCATAATCAACCGCATGTCATTGTTGATATATACGCACGTAACGTGGTGTGTTAGTTTTGTTGTTTTTAGGTGCATGTCAAACAACGTGGTGTGTTTAGGTGCTGGTACAAGTAAAAGAAATATGATAAATGTGATGAGCCGAGGAGATATCTACATAAGAGTTCAAAGTAGGTTTATAAAAAAAGAAGAAGAAATTAATATGATGCCAAAGAACTTATTGTTGTCAGTACTATCCACTTATTGTTTTTCCTATGAACTCGAGGAGAGGTGAAAAAACCATATGTATTTTCAAATAAACCATACATTTGTTTGGTAAATTATGTTGTGTGTTGCAAATCATATTGGTTATCCACTTCATATTAGTTTGTCTCACTTTCTTGTTTTGCTTTGTGACGTAAAATGGTCTCATTATTGTTGGGTTTACACTATATAGGTCTCTAATTTGTACATGTTAGGTCCCTATATCCTATCGAGATAGTTATGGTTTATATAATAGAGAAAAATCCATCAGAAGCAGTTGATAAAGTGATATAGGACTCATATAGATCGGTTTAGACGATTAACAAAATATGTGACGAAGAAAAGAAAAGAAAAACAAAAACAAAAACAAATGTCATATAACTAGCGGAAGCTAGTGAGTTTAATACTTGAAACTGCCAAATTAATTGAAGTGGTATGTTGACAAAAATTTAATCAAAGTGGTCTATGAGAATCAGCACCCAACCAATCAAGAAATGTTTACCCCTTAAAACACGAGTTTAGTGCTCTTATGTTTTCCTCTTTTTTAGGCAAATGTCTTAAATTCCTTGCACTTCAACAAAATGTTTTTAAATGCTCTTTACGTCGGTACACATGAAAACGTTATGAGGCTTCAAAACAGAATCTATGTATAAAAATACACGCATAGATACAACTTTTTTTCCTTTCTTTTCCATATAACGTACAAACCAAACACAACTAGCTCTTTTCTAACCAAGAGAAAGACTTTTATGCAGAATGAAGTTTGAGAGAGCAAGACCATTCATAGCCATTGTCTTCATACAGTGTTTGTACGCACTGATGTCTATAGTAGCAAAATTAGCTTTGAACGCGGGAATGAGCCCTCACGTCTTAGTTGCTTACCGAATGGCAGTTGCTTCAGCTCTCATTACGCCTTTCGCCCTCGTCCTTGAGAGGTTTTTTTCTTCTTCTGCCGGTTCATGCAGGCCTACCTGTAACACAAAAACATACACTATATATATATATATATGAAGTCAAAATATAATGGTTTCTTGTGCTGCAAACGCAGGAACTCAAGACCAAGGATGACCTTCAAGATTTTGTTACAAATAGCCATCCTTAGTTTATTTGAGTAAGAGTTTGTTTAAATCATTTCTGATGGACTATGATGATAGTCCGTTGTAACTAACTTGGTTTAAATGACCATAAACGCAGGCCTGTGGTCGAACAAAACCTGTATTACTCAGGGATGAAACTTACCACTGCCACATTCACATCAGCTTTGTGCAATGCACTTCCTGCTATGACATTCATTATGGCCTGCGTTTTCAAGTAACTCTCTCCTTCTTCCACTCTCTAAACCAATATTATTGCTAATGCATACATCATTTCAGTACTGAAGCAATTTGACTCGGTTTCTGTTTTCTTGAAAGACTCGAGAAGGTGACAATCGAAAGACGTCACAGCCAGGCAAAACTGGTGGGAACCGTGGTGGCTATTGGAGGAGCAATGCTCATGACATTCGTGAAAGGGAATGTCATTGTGCTGCCTTGGACAAGCAACTCAAGGGGCCTTGATGCGCATTCACATGCTATGATGATTCCAAAGCAGGAAGATATAGCAAGAGGATCAATTATGCTTGTAGCAAGCTGCTTCAGTTGGTCATGTTACATCATTTTACAGGTAGGATCCATTCCCGCTTCCGTGTCCCTGAATCTTGCTAGCTAACCTAAAGCCAGAAAGCTTCCACCAGTTTTACTAAAGCTTAACATATTTATCGGCATAAAACATTGATTGAGAATATCACTAGTGAACAAAACTGTGAAATCACAGAGTTAAGGTTACAGAGGAATTTCTGTTCTTTTTCAGGCAAAGATTCTGGCTCAATATCAAGCTGAGCTCTCGCTAACAGCTCTTATGTGCATTATGGGGATGTTGGAGGCTACTGTTATGGGACTGCTATGGGAAAGGAAAAACATGTCGGTCTGGAAAATCAACCCGGACGTTACGCTTTTAGCTTCAATATACGGGGTACAACATTTCTTGTATCTGTTCTTCCATTTTCCAGTAAAACACTTTTGTGTGTATGATTGCTGATAGAAGAAGTATTGTTGATTGTACCACAGGGACTTGTCTCAGGGTTAGCATACTATGTTATTGGATGGGCGTCAAAGGAGAGAGGGCCTGTGTTTGTGAGCGCGTTTAACCCGCTCAGCATGGTTCTCGTTGCTATTCTGAGTACCTTTATTTTCATGGAAAAAATGTACCTAGGAAGGTAATAATAGCTTTGATCTAAAGACTGCTATTGTGATAGATCTGAAGTTAGAGAATTGATTTTCACTAAATGAGCTTCTAAATTTGTAGGGTTGTTGGGTCAGTTGTCATTGTCATTGGTATATATTTGGTACTATGGGGTAAAAGCAAGGACAAAGGAGGGAAGCTTCAACCAAACACCGGATGCGCAGAGACTGTGGTAAAGATCGACCAACAGAAGGTTCCGACGCCTGATAATAACAAAGTAGTATCCACCAGTTACCAGTTAATGATCCCAAAGGTAGCAGCTCGATCTCAAGAGTCGGTCTAAGTTGGCGATTTTGTTCCAGGATCTCTATATATTGCAAAAACATTTTTGATACTATTGGTTTGCCAGAATAAGAGCAAGCAATGCGCTACATAAAGTCTCATAAAAGCTAAGAATTTGGAGTTCTTGCAGTAGTTTATATACTTTAGTAAGAGAACTAGACTTCCCCAGACTTTAGCCGTCCACGGTTCTGATTTACTATTCGAAACTTTAGTTACAGAGAACAAGAATGGACTTGGACATCACTTACGACAAAAAGCCTGCCAGTTGATAACTCGTCTTCTCAAGAGGCCAAAGTGACATCATCCTTCCCATAGATACGCTGAAGTTCAAGGCTGGCAACATGATATGAAGCTGAAAAGAGACAAAAGTAGAACAATGATTGGCTTTTGTATCTTGTTGTCATGCTCTAAGCAGCTATATCTTTTTAAAATGTCTATGTTGCACTACTACCTTTCCAGGTGTTGAAATTCTTATGGTTGATATCAGATCCTGTCACATTTTGAATAGCATCGAACAACTTTTCCTGAGGTGTATTCTTCAGCTCTTGAACAACGCCATAAATGGTCTTTCCATTCTCAAAGTATATGTGGTTATTTGGATGCTTTGTCTTGCAATTAGCATGCTGCTCAAACTCATACGCATTAAGAACCTGTTGCAGAATTCAGTTGGAAAACAAGCAGATAACATAGATCTGTATCAAAGAGACCTGTCAGTGAATTACTGAAACCATTTGTATCAGGTTGCTTACTCTATTAAAGTTACAGTTGCCGCAACCACATAGATACCCAGTCCCCTTTATGATTCCTTTGAGATTTTTCTGCCAAATTATGTTTCAGCACACAGAAGAGTAAAGGTGAAAGGTTCCTTCTCAGGACAGGTTAAAGAAAAACAAACTGACCTCACGTGACCACGAATAGTACTTCACAGTAACCCCATCAAACATTCCTGTTGACAACAATGACTTAACATTTGAAGGAAATGTATTTGTAGAACCCTTCTTAGCTGTCTTGGTATCTTTACTTTTGGGCACCAGCAAGGTATCAACTCTAGGACTAGCATAAGGGGGATTTCTAAATTCAAAAGACATATTTTCCTCTGCTTCCATATGAGGAGGATCTTTAGCAATAGCAGGGTCATGGCTGAAGTTCTCATAACTGTTAATAACACGGACTGCTGATCCAATCGTGGATTCTTTCTGATAATCTCCAAAAGATAGGGTCTGGCTTCTATCCTCGTGCCTAATTTGATCTGTTCTCTCTTGGCTAGAAACCATAAATGCCATCTCACCGCCTTCCGTAAATGGAGACTCTCCCCTTGACAACGCATTGACATTTTCTTTGTAATTGTTTGATCCGGTCATGAAAACGTTTCCAGGCAATTTGTCACAAGATAGAAGAGGCATAAAGTTCTCTTGTCCCTTGTTATAGGAGGAACTCACTGAGAAGATATTGCAATCAGCCTTTTGAAGAGACTGACCCATCAAAACAAAGTTTTCTACTCCTTTCTGAAATGGATGAAATGTTGACAAGACATTTCCATCTCCTTTGTCAAAAATATCACCGGTTGGTACGACACCAACAGCTTCATTACTAAAGTTTTGAATGAAATTTCCATCTGCCTTGCTAGCGAATGGTCCTGGGAAGATGAAGCTCTTGTCAATACTACTAGTGCAGGTTTGGCCAAAGGATAGCGTGCTCTCTTGACCACTATTATAAGAAGGAACCGTTTCAAATGATCTTGAAAATCCCTCATTATAAAGCTGAACCATGAAGTCGGGCAAGTTGCCAGATTCAGACACTTGATTGACTCTAACTTTTCTAATGGTGTCAAGATTAAAAGAGCTCCCATGAACCACTGGCAAACCAATAGATTGCTCCTCTGTATAATTTCGAGCACGGAGGAGATGTGATGAATGCGCATTGGCAGGGTCGAATAAGCAATCAGTGAAGTGTGTTGTGGGCACAAGAGAAGTGTCCAATGAAGATAAATTCATATGAGCATCGACCACTTGTCTCTTATTCTTGAATACTTGTGAGCTAGACGGTTCTGTCAACCACTGATGATAACTCCGCTTTAATTCCATTGTTGAAGAACCAGAACCAGAACCAGAACCAGAACCAGAATATGGAATCTTCTCAACAAAATCCTTTCTGCTAAAATCTGTTCTCATCCTCTGTCACAGCCAATATAACCAGAGATCATAATTAATAACTACACTTACCAAAAACTGTGAGACTTTGAAGGCATGAAAACAAACGTAGAGATATGTAAATTAGGTAAGGGACAGTTTCTAGTCATGAATGAGGAAATAGTGGAACCCTAAAATCACGAAATTATCTTAAGCTCATACCTTGGAATTGCATCCCTGGGAGTAGATCGCAGAGCTGTTCTTAATAGTTAATATTAGCTTCTTCAGTAGCTCGAACGCGCCGTCACCGGAGAAGTCAAAAACCCAGAATCCAACCAATAAATTGGGATTTTTAGGGTAAAAAGAAGAACTTCACAGAATTCGGGGAACGAGACAAGTGAGAGAGAGTGTAGAGGTTGACGTAAGAGTGAGAGAGGAAGGATCATCAAATCAACAAGACTCGAAGAGACTCGTAACATTAAATGACAGTAACTGCAACCCAAAGTTTAAAGATCAGTCCTCGATTTGGTGCAACAGTCGTTTTTTTCGAATATTGATCATGTTTTTTGGTAGGAACCCGACGGATTAACTGTTTAATTAAGAATTATTTGGTGCAACTATTAAATTAACATCATGATTATTATTATACTATTAAATATTTCTCCTTTCGTTTCGTTTTATTTGTCGTTTTAGAGTTCAAATTTTGTTTAATAATAGTTGTCGTTTTAGGTTTTCGATGCAAATGTTTGGTGAAGATTCCAGTTTTATCCCTACTGTTTTAATGTTTCGGCCAATGAATTTTTTTATAAAATATATTAATAGAAGATAAAACAGAAAATTTAATGTTTTTCATAATTTGTATGAGAAAACCTTAAACACAACTAAAACGAAACAAAGGGAGTAATAAACATTAAAGTTTTTATTTAATAATAATAATACTTCTCATTCTCTAAGTCAGAAGAAATAAAAGATTAAAATAAAAAGTCAAACATTCATATTTTATCGTTTGATTTCTTCTTGCATTGTGAGCATATGGCCCCGTTCCCAATTTAAAAAAGCTTTGCTCATGCCGGTTTAGTGTTGTTGTGAAAAAAGATTTCTTTTATTGCAATTCTAGCTACGTCTAAGTTAAAATTCCGATTAGACTAATGCATGCATAAGTAAGACTTTATCAAATTTATCCGATCTGATTCTAAGGCCACTTTTATGAATGCATATTCTCCACTATGCTTACGGATTCACAATTTAAGCAACCATATCGGCTAGTGGTAACTTTAGAAGTTGTACAGCTTAAGTATCAGATGATCGAACAAAGGGCATGGAGATATTCCAAAAAAAACACTAATTGGATTACATGAGGACTCCCCCTTTGCTATAAGAATAAGACTATGTATAAGAATCAAACAAGCCTATAAATAACACTAGAAACTAGCTTTCATTTTTTTTAGTAGAAGCTTTTCTTCAATTTCACCCAAACCCCCAGCTGCAAAATGGGTTTTACTGCCTGCCTTTCTTTGCCATTTTTGGATTCTTGCACATCCTTATACTTGAAGGTGTAACCTCCACCAACTCATCCTCTTCAATGTATTCGATGCAATCGTCCAGACTATATGTCAATGGAGTATCAAGAATCACTGTAATTGAGAAAAGATGATTTGTGAGCAGATGGGAATTGAAACTTTTGCAATTTAAGATATGATATATGTATTATATATGAAATACCTGTTACATCTTTGTTGGACCTTATGTTTGTCGCTGCCTTCTTCTTGCATATATTAAGACCCAAGTCCCCGGGTCTCTGGTGAATCCCAACTATCTGACCTTTGTATACATCCACTCCTGAACCTACAAACATTTGCCCTCTTTCCTGCGCACTCGCCAGAGCATATGATGTTGATGTTCCATCTTCAAAGGCAACCTGAAAGTCACACAACTATTCAGACCCAACAAAATACCAAAATGGCATGTTTCCATCAAAACTTCACTTTTCATATTTTGTGACCACTTTCGACCAATCTATCGATTAGCATTGCTAATTCCTGGAACCTACCAGCGAACCCAGATCGCGGGTGCTAATATCACCGGCCCAAGGTCCATAACTGTCAAATACAGTGTTAAGGATAGCTGTCCCGCGAGAAGCTGTTAAGATTGCGTTCCTCAATCCAAGAAGTCCACGTGTTGGGATTTTGTACCGCAGAAAGGTTGTTCCTTCCGACCTGTCATTCAGGATTCACATATATGGTCAGATTGATCTTAAAAGCTGCATACTGTATATCTACCAACTAGCTTATCTGAAAAAAACATCACGCGTCGTCTTGCACACAAAAAAAAAAGAAAAAAAGAAAAAAAGAACAACTAACATGACATCATGTATTGTTGTACTTGTATAAATGCAGTAAAGTGGACAGAAAAAAAAAGCCTTTGCATGGCCCTGCTTGAGAAAATGACCAAACGGTTCTCAAAGCAGTAACAAGTCTTGTGCATGTTCATATGATGGTTACAGTAATCTAATATCACCAAACTGCTGCGCTATAAACAACCCAAACAAATAACCGCTATATATCTTAATCAGTTTATTGCCAACACGATAAAAATGTTACAATTAAAACGAGCAGCCTTAACACAATATCATCATTAAGAGGCAGAAGATTTATGGACACCCAGCACCTTCCATATAAAATAAAGAAATGGCAAGAGAAACAATACATACCCAACACCCTGCATATCAAACATCTGTCCACGCCTTTTGCCAAGAAGTTCAACAACAGGCCCCATGTGAGCCTCAGGTACTTCAACAGTTGCTATCTGAATTGGTGGATTTTGAAGTTAGATAGGGCGTCTTTACTTTTATTCACGAACGCAAAAGTTCTTTAGTGAGTTGACAATTAAACCAAAGATATTCAAATCAAACTGAAATCATGGTTTCAAGTTGCTGCTAATTCCTTTGGTAGGAAACTAATAGCTTCAGTCAGAAACTCACCTCATATGGCTCCAGCAATTTGTCGTTCACCCTTTTATTGATAACTTTCGGGGGGCCAACCATAAATTCATATCCTTCTCTTCGCCTGGAACATATAACCATTCAGCTATCTTCAATTTCAAATATGAAGGAATGATGGACACTGAAGTACTTACATGTTTTCTATCAGGATGGTAATGTGTAATGTACCACGCCCACTAACAATGAATGTGTCTGCTGTCTCACCATCCTCCACTTTCATAGCTAGATTTCTCTCAAGTTCACGGTTTAAACGATCTCGTAAGTTCCTGCTCGTTACATACTTCCCCTACAGGAAAAAAAAAGATAATTCAATTGTTGCACTAATCCTTTTCTTTTTGGTCGACAATGTTACCTCATCCAAGTTAATGATTTTCCACTTAATATCTTGTAGCCATGCATTCATGAAATATACAGTAAGATAGACTCATGACAGTAATAACAGCCATGATTAGACCTACCTCACGACCAGAAAATGGAGAGGTGTTTACAGAGAAGGACATTTTCACAGTTGGCTCTTCAACTTTGATTGTAGGTAGAGGCTTCCCATGTACTTTATCAGCAATAGTCTCCCCAATCTGCAAATTTAGGGTATACAAGGAAATCTATCGTTAAGCAACAAAACGAAAAATGACAAGTGGGAGAAATTATCCACCAGTGTTACAACAGTCTCTCACATTCATCAAGTTATCTATTCTTATACGTGTGTACCTGAATGTTGTCTATGCCACATACAGCGCAAATATCTCCAGCTTCCACTGAATCAGTAGGTACTCTGTAGAATTTCTCATATACAAAAAGCTCACTAACTCTTGCAAATCTACAGGAATCTTCAGAAGTGCACACCTGTAAAGTTATACCCCAGTAAGTCTACTATAAACCATATCAGTTCAGCAAGAAGTTGGTGCGTTCGTATCATTTTCTCGCTGGTTCTTAAGGTTTTGGCACCATCCCCCATTCAATTACGTCTTGGACGTATTTCATCACAAAACTTAATGAATTAGAAACCTAGGGAACTTAATAGAAATTTCGTCCATGAATATCTTGTCCATCCTGGTTACCGTTTTCCTATCTTTTACATGCTATATTGGCAGAGGCCACCTGCTCTACAAGGTGGAAAGACTTGAGAGATTGACTAGCTTAGATACTTTTTATATGAGCCCACATCATTTATGTCACATAACAAAGGAATAAGTTCAAGATAATCAAAACGTTACCCTGACATCCATTCCTTTGCGCAGTACCCCTGCGTGTAGTCGTCCAATAGCAATGCGTCCTTTATGCTCATCATACTCAATATTTGTGGCCTGAACAAAAACAAAAGTATGTTAGTTTCATACAAGTGAATACCCAACTCAACTAGAATGTCTGGTTCATTGAAATTTCTTTCAGATTTTGGTTTGAGGAATATCTCTATTTATTAATTAATATGCAAGGCAAAGTCTTTGTGGTCTTTAGTTTAGAATAGATGAGATAAACTCATCAATTTGACTGCCACAAATTGTTTTCATTTTCATTATTTCAGAGTGCCACTGGATCGTTAATTTCTTGGATTTGAAGTTGTATTGTAGCGACTGCTTTTAGTTGGTGAGAGACAAGTTTTTGATGTGTAGATTTTTGGCTAGGAGATCTAAATATGCAAGATAGCTTTTTGGTACTAGCTGGGAACAAACACATAAAACATAAAACGGTAAAAAATCACAATAACTCACAAGCATCTGAAGTGCACCGTCTTTTTCAATATTTGGCCCAGGTACACATCTGATTATAGCTTCGAATAGGGGTCCCAGGTCTTCTGCAAGGTCATCCGGAGAAAGCCCTGCCTTTCCTTTAATCCCACTAGCATATATCGCTTGGAAATCACACTACAGGCCCCACAAAAATATCATTGAGGTTAGTGTCATATAAATATACTCAAGGCGGCGAAATACCAAAGAAAGGATAGACAAACCCAAATCAGCAATACCTGTTCATCTGTAGCATTTAGTTCAATAAATAGTTCAAAGGTGGAATTGACAACAAATTCAGGACGAGCAGAAGGCCTGTCAATCTTGTTAACGACCACAACAACTGCATGTCCAAACTCAAGAGCCTTCTTTAAAACAAACCTTGTCTGGGGCATTGGTCCCTCAACAGAGTCCACCTAAGAAATTGAGGGGAGGAAAATTAAAATGAGAAATACAGAACTGAAAAAGTGAATTCTAAAGCATTGAGAGAAAGCAACATATTACCACAAGAAGCACTCCATCAACCATGTTCAAGACACGCTCCACTTCACCCCCAAAGTCAGAATGGCCAGGAGTATCAATAATATTTACTTTCGTGTTTTTGTAAGTGATGGAGGTATTTTTGCTAAGTATAGTGATTCCTCTTTCACGCTCAAGGTCATTTGAGTCCATGATCCTCTCTTGCATGACTTGGTTATCTCGGAAAACCTACAAAGTAAGGCATGGATTAAGAAAAACTTTCTCAGGTTTGATAAAAACAGAATGCCATAATTTGCGTTTCAGGTGTTACCTTAGCTTGCCTAAGCATAGAATCAACCAAAGTAGTTTTGCCATGATCAACATGTGCTACGATTGCTATATTCCTCACGTCATTCCTCCTATCCAACTGCTTCTTCTTCACCTCTATTGGCATAACATAACAAGAGCGATTTTATTTAGAGAACCAATCAACCACAAAAATATATATATATTGAAACTAACCTATTGTAATTCTTAAAAACTTTGATTGACTAGTTTTCTTATTTCAAACTGACTTAACTTGAACAAAACCGAAATCAATTTTCAGTAACAAAACTATCTGAAGAGATAAGAGAGAAAAAAAGACCGGAGGCTGGTTCGGCAGTTGATGGAGAGGCGGAGCAAGTGATGGGACGAGGAAGCGGACGGCGGGAAGGAAATCGAAGAGCTCCTCCTCTTGGTTTAAGCGCGGAAGCAAAGCTGACGCCGAGCACTTGTTGCTTGTGAAGGAGAGGAGAAGCTTGTCTCCTCAAAACCGCAGGAGAAGCGGAGGAAGTGCTCAAGCTGAGCTCCATTTCAATTCTCTCCGCCGCGAAACAGAAGGAGGGATAGAGAGAGAGAGAGAGAGAGAAGCTAAAGGATTTTATTTGGTTGGAGAGGAGAAGCTGCTGTTTTATTCCGAGGATTTCATTCAGAAGGAGACTAAGCGATTCGTCGTATGGATATAGAGGGACCAGGTTAAGCCACGTCTCTCACTCTTGGCGACTTATCGATTCCCAACTTGACATGGTGGCTCACTATTAGTCTATTTCTGATAACGAGCTTCTAGGCCTTAATGACATAGTTCATCATGTATGGTGTTGCATTTTCAGAATTAACTTTGATTACCAAATTTATAACCAAAATTTGAGTCATCCTCTACACTACGTATATAACCCACAAATTGATGCTTTCGACAAGACAAATAAACATGGCGCAGCAAGTTTTGCGTTATCATTCTAGGGATCAATTAGATAGGATCGTATAATTTACATTCAATAAGAATTTTTAAAAGGTATTGAGAATTTTGCACCAAAGTATCATTCTCAGGCTTCTTTGTGACTTGCGAGCATCATGATGATGACTATGATGATGAATTGTTGATGATCTCTCTTGCAAAGTATTGGATTCACATAAGCTGACAGACAGCTTAAAGAGATCATGATATTCACAGCTTCAGGTCAATACGCTCCGACCATTCAAATATGCCTGAGTGGACCTGGTCATGTCCTATATCGGATCCGTTACCTCCCGCCGCAACCCTCATGATATCCTCTATCAACGCAAAGTTTCCCATGATATCAACATGGGCTCCACTCTGCGTCCCGCGCCCTTCCAGCAGGTTAGCCGGTGGAGAGTGATTGTATTCTCTAATGTAAGTCTTGATTCCGGAAGGGTTAAATCTTGTCTTCCCACGCCACGCTTTAGCACACATGAACCCGGCACTTAGGACCGGTACTGTTTCATCCCCATCCACATTGTAAACTCCTGCTTTCAGACAGCTATCTTCGTCCTCCTCCTGAGCAGAAGTGAAGATCTGAAAGGGGATGCAACTGTCAGGAGACTGGTTAAGCTTATAGACATATGCTCGTTCCGTTGGTATCCCCACTCCGTATAATGAGTAGATTTCCATCTCAGGAGCATTGGGTAATCTGAAACAGCAGAACAAACCAAACGGAGTATTCATTTTATCTATATAAAAAAAAAAAACAGAGGACGAATGATCCTTATGGGACAGAAAACAATTATATTCCAGGCCTCACAGGAATGATTAACTGAGCAACACTAGACATCATATGCTAGAAGAGTTCCAGGGTATTGCCGGTAGATCCCAGAAAATGAAGAGAGAGTCTACTACACTCCTTTAAAACTAGAAGGTGGTAATAAGGGTTTTCAGCCAATTAAATTTCGAATTAATTGTCATGCCACAGCCACCATGAGCTGCTTCTATAAGCAAGCATCACCTGTATCAACTTTGGCACCTCAATATAACTGAGCAAGCCTTTTTGAGAAAGGCTCAAATAGTTTTGTAAGCTTTGAGCTGAAAACCATATGGAGCAACAAAAGACTGATAATGCATCAGGACGAAGGATAGAGTTGGTATCAATAAATCACTTACTTTGTCTCTAGCGGATTTGACCAGTATTTGGGCTGTTGATACTTGGGGTCATCCAAATCATCAGCAATTCCATAAGAGAAATGAGCGGAACCACGCGCCATCATCTTAGGAGCAACATAATGTAGTAGATCAATAGCTTCATCAGCAGTGTAGACCTTATACTCCGCGATAGCTTTGATCCCTGCAATTCCCATATCATGGTACTCTGTCCACACGTCACGACAGGTGTGATTTGGGATACTCTGACCTTTGACCGCACCCTTCACCAAATAAAATGTATAGATATTCATCATATAATCACCAAAAGTACAAGGTTTAGTATGATTTCAATGTCCTTACTCGAAAATCAATATTATTAATCTCAGACGGCGCAGCCTCTGCTACTTCTTTCCCAAAAGATATAATCCTTCCATAGTTAACAGGCTTTGTCTTGGAAACTCCATTTTCACCTACTTCACCACAAGTCTCGTTGCTCTTTTGCTTTTTCCCACAGCAGGTGTGGCCTTTCTCCGGCGACCAATCAAGACCGCCCCATATTGTGTCACCTCCCTTTGGTAACATAGACATTGTTGAGTCCCATGTGCGTGTCATTCTCATTACATGCTGCAAGGTCTGAAGTCTGAATATATCGGTGTCTAAGAACCCTGGGGCAATCGCTCTGAAATTTTCGAAGAAAGTTAAGTTCTATTAAGGAACCAAGCGACTAAAAGTGCAACTAATCCAATGAGCCGGTAGTTAAGAAGAAATGAAAGCATAGATGCATATATAAGAAAACTAAAAGAAGCAGAAAATAACACTATTTGGTAAAGAATGTAATCATGGAAGCTAATCGCTTATCATGTCAAAGCGAAGAAACTGGTCATTAAAGAGCAATGCGTAAGAATTAAAAAAAAAAAACTCTTTTGATATTTCTTCCTGTAGGTCTATACTTAGACTGCCTAATAATGATCAGGCATTTCTTTGTCGCACTTGCACCAAACTTCTCAGTATTAAGTTAGACAACTATTACTAAAACAGAAAATGAGCACAGCTAACTGATCTAAGCAGCAAATTCAAGATAATTAATATAGGTAAATACCAATTCCACATTTACTTACATAAAACTCAAAGTGTCCTAGAAGTTCACTCTTTCACACGACTGTCATACCCATCAATATCATTTTATCAATTGTTTCCACCTCAAGAGAGTTTCAGTTGCATAAGCAACAAAAATAATCAACCAACGTCAATATTGTTCAATAATATAGCACTGTTAGAGTTCCAGGGCCAAGGTTCTAAACTTCTAATCATCAAAAGCAGAATCAGATATTCAATACCTGGCAACTGCAACATCCTTTGCTTCAGCAGAGAAAAGCCCTGCTACAGCTTTTGGAACACCAAGAAATGGTCCACCAATGTTCATCACCGCCTTTATATACTTTGCACACCAATCTGGCCCACCCCCGCCACCCATAGGAGCTGGTGCCTCAACCCACTTCATAAAATGTAGAAAATACAAGACCCCCATGGAATGCGGAACTATAACTGCCTTTTTTCCACCGTTGGTAGAAACCATCAACTCTATATTACTTTTCATACGGCTAAGCGTCTGATCACGTACCTATTAATTCAACATGAAATATATTTAGGCCTTAAGCAATGAAGAAAGAAACGTAACATGGAACAGGATAACAGAAAGAAATATGAGAAAAGAACCTCTGTGTTTTGAAACGAAAGCCTCCAGTCATATGCAGCCATGTACATGTTTTTCTCTTCATATCCAATATGTGCAAGGTTAGCAATCAGCACTGCCCAGACAAAGTAGCCAGGAGCAAAGTAGTCGGCAGCCACAAGTCCTGATACAGCTCTAACTCTAATACCAGCAGGATCCAACCCAGTTACATTGTCAAGTGACATGTGTTCCACCCAACATAGAGGCCTGAATCAAAGAGAGAATCAATTAGTTAAGATACTATCAACAATAAAACTGTCTCATCTCTAACATAGCAAAAAAATGAACACTGAGCCGAAAGAAGAAGATGCAGATTGTAACAAAGATGCAGCCCATAAAACAGTTTTTCTTACATATCTACAGCAGACTCAGGAGGAGTTCATAGCAGGTTACTAGAACGAGGATGGAGGAAATTCAAGACATATAACTAAACTCGATGTGGAAACTTTGAAAATCACATATTCAGTTCTCAGAAATAATTTGAGAAAAGCACATTGAGCTGAAAGACAAAAAAGAAACTAGCTTTAATTGCACATGTACATAGTGAATAATAAAGCAACAGTCATCTATCACAGCCTAAACACACTTTTCACATATGTATTTAGAACTTCTCTATTCATAAAACACTACTTGATTATACGCTACACACAACTAACTCTACATTCAACAACAGTAAAGGAAGTAACTTGTTATGAACGGACTTTAGGGCATGCCTAGCAACAGATTTGGCAATAAAATGACTTGAAATTCCAAGGCAGCTAATTAAGATCCTAAAGTTAACAATCAAACAGAATTAGTCCAATTCAAAGCTGCCAATTACTTCCTTGGAACGCTTACCTTACACATACAGAAATAGTCTCTTAAAAAAAGTAGCGTTTCACATCTAAAAAGCGACTAGAGATTAAGACAAACATGGAATTAAAGTTTGAGTGATGTTCAAGAAGCACCAAGTGCGTGATCTCATCAGATCCAATCCAAATCCCAATATAAAGACGTATAAAAGGAAGAGTGAGAATTGAGCTAACCTTTTGTAGACTTCACCAAAAGTTCCACCCCACAAACGTTTTCTAAACAAACCATCAGCGCATTGTTTACCTTCCCAAAGCTCAAGCCCACCAGTGACAATCCCAGGAATGAAGACCACGGGATGTTTCGCCTTAAGACCTTCTTTCTTAAGCTTAACACCGGGCGGGTCAGGCAAAGGACCCGTGATTCGCTCCGTTACATACTGAGGGAAGCTCGCAGGCATTGCGTTGTAAAGGAAGAGAAGAAACCACCATGTGACGCACACACACCCAATGAACCAACAACAGGAGTCGATGCACGACCACTTCCCTCCTCCGTTGGATTTCTTATGGTGGGATTTGGAAGATTCGTGTGGTTTCTTTTGGGAATCCTCATCGGGTACCACCACCTCTTCAGATGGCGGCGACGATGGTTTCTCCGTCGGCTTTTTCCGATGAATAAGGGGCATATCTGTCACTTGAAATTAACCAGATTAATAAGCTACCGACTTTGTCTAATCTCTTCCAGGAATTCAGAACCCAGATTGATTAGGGATTTGTAGACCAGTCGAGAGAGAGACAAAGAGCTGTTTCGCTGCGAATTTCTGGAACCAATCAAATCAAATTTGTCTCTTTCTGATACTTTTCTGTTTTTTTTTTTTTTAATGATATTCCAAGGGACTCGGACCGAATGGCGAAACTTGACCACTTTGCTCCTGATTCAGGTTGCGGTTCATGACCCGTCCGATCCGTTTCGTTGCTTTCATTAATTAGTCCCAACATTTATCTCGCCTGTATTTAACAAGTCCCTGCGTTTTACATGTATTTACAAATTTAATCAGTTATATTTATCTTTTTTAGTTAGGAACTATGATTATAAATGACGACTACAGAATGATTTTTTTTCTTCTTATTAATGAATGGCCTCAATAAGTTTAAAGGATACTTTTTGTCAATATTACACCTACATTTTTACGGTCATTGGATCTTGGGGTAGTTCTCTCCAGTCGCTAAGGTCCTTGGAAGGTTTATGTGATATATGTAATCCAGAATAAGAAATAACCATAAAACAAAGCAACCATGAAAGGGGAAGTTCAAAAAAAGAAGTCATGACTTAGACATTGTTGGAACTTATTTTGAATAGTTGCGCCGGACTACTTTTTCGGGTAACTTTCAAAGTTGAAGTTCGTTTGAATGAGAAATGGAGGTCCGAAGTGGCTAGCTTGGATAGCTTGAAATTTGACTAAAGGATCAAATGTCGCACTTCGGAAGTTAAAGGAGAAATCCAAACCAGGCATGTGTGCCGACCCGTGTTGTATCGTGTCGAGCCGGACCGGGTTTGAGATTTTGAGATTTGGGAAATGGGCTTATAACCCAAATGATAATTGTTAATTACCCAAATGTGTAAGTTGATTAAGTCAACAATTATCTCCTTTAATGTGAATTATAAATTGTGTAACAACAAAAATTAATTCACAACAATTAAAGGTGATGGAGTCAATGACATTGATGTTGAGAATTCATTCTCATTCTCTAATATCATTTCTTCTCTTGAACCATATGAGAGAAAGGATGGCGAGCATTTCATGTGGCCCACGCTTTGGCATTTTCCTGGTTATTGATTGGAAAAAGGCTTTGGGTCCCCTTTTTCTACTTGTTACGTGTGTTAGGATCCTTCTCATATGTGTCGGCAACGGCGTATGGTTCGCGAGAGTTTTCTCTCGTCCTACTTGTGACCACCCTTTTCAGGGATTGGGTGTCTCGGCAGTTCAGGCGCAAGTTTGGAACTTCAAAAACATACGAAACCTTGTTTGTTTCGTGATGCAATGTATCTCAAGGTGGCTGGCTTCATGGCATCGTCAAGCGTTTTGTCATACTGAGTGGCTTACCTCTGCGTTGGAACGCATTATCCTTTGGATCTTTAAATCCTTTTATCCCTTTTTCAATTGTATTTTCTTATTTTGTTGTTTATCTATCCGGGTGTTGCGTGATGTTCAAGAAAGAGCAGCCCGTAAGTACTTTTATTCCCATGTAAGTTTATCGGTTTCTGTATGGCTCTCCTTAGCGGAGAATCCTTTATCCGTAGCTTAATAAAATGGTGTTTGACGAAAAAAAAAAAAAAAAAAAAAAAAAAACAATAACATTCTCACCTTTATTGCTCCATTATAGTGTTGAGAGCTTGGACTATAAAACCAAGGCTTCATCTCTCCATTTTTATCTCATGGACATATGGATCAAAAAGATCACAATCTCCTTCTTCTTCTCTTCTCTAGTTATCGAGTCTGAGAGTACACACATTACTAGAGTTCGTTAGGCTTCTGATTTTGAGTGTTGCAAATCAGAAGATGGTGCGGTTGTATCCTGGGATTCTGATTGCGTCAAGCCGTCACACTACGGGCAATTAAAGAATTAAGGAAAGAGTGTCTCGCCTCCGCACAAACCGTTCTTTGTTTAACAAATATTGGTTTCGGTTGTTGTAATTTATTTCTGGTTTTATCATTATCTATTGCAATTATTCAGTTTTGACATGTCGTAGAAATCGTGGTCCTACAGACATAGAATATGAGTTAGGTGGAAATGGTAAGAAGAGGATTATTACTAAAGGTGTAGTAGGTTGACGACGGTAAGCACAACAAATTGGTTTGAAAATGATGACACGAAAATGGAGATTTGGAAATTGAATGAATAACTAAAAAATATAAGAGTTGGAGACTCGAATAAAAGGAAAAGAGCTGGATGAATTGGTGCTGGGTCATATTTCAAGAAGCAATTCTAATTTCCTACCTTGGGTTGAATTAGGTTGATGAGCTTGATTCAACTATACTTTTCTACCCCATTATAATAAAGAATCGTTAACTCAGGTCTAACGACGAAAATTGAAAACAAGAAAGGTTGAGGAAGAAACCTGAAAACCCCACAGAGAAACTTAACTTTGAAGGGAGAAAGAGATCAGATCTCACTACCCCCATACCGAACCGTGAATCAATGAGATGTGTGCTTGGTGTTATTCTAGCCTTAAGCTTTTAGTTCATCTAAGATATGTTGTTTATGTGATCGAGATTTTGACTACATTATCTAAGATATGTTGTTCGAAAAATACGTAATAAAGCCTGAGTGTATCTTTTATAAGATCAGGGCTAGATTTTAAGAATTTAGTAGGAAAATATCAGACCAGGACGGAGGTGAACCAAAAATAATAATACAAAAGTTTGCAAATTTGAGACCGGATTAAACCGGCTACCCTGATGAATATGCCTTGTAAAAGTGTCGTCATCGGAATAAAATCTTTTACATGGCTGAAACCGCAAATACGATCCTCAAGACAGCAACATAAAAAATAATAGTAGTCAAATAACACTAAAAAAATAAGGCACTCAATATCCACACTCCCAAAATATGAAAATATGAATAGAAATCTCAATGAGCCAATCAGAGGCCAGCAAAGTCCATCTCATTGTCCAAACTCGACCTCACAAGTAGAGTCTCCCCTCTTGCGTAACCATTCGTCCACGTGTCCTTCCCTCCCACCACTTACCTTCAAAACCAACGCTTCTTTTTTAGTTCTTGTTCCGAGGCGTTTAACGATGAGAGAATCATAAACTCCCACTTGGAGCACAAGAAGAAGTGTAAGAGACAACAACAACAATAAACGATTATTCATCTCTTCGATTCAACGTTTGGAGAATCTATCATCAGCCGCGAAAATGGCTTCGCTTGTGTATTCTCCATTCACTCTATCCACTTCTAAAGCAGAGCATCTCTCTTCGCTCTCTAACAGTACCAAACATTCTTTCCTCCGGAAGAAACACAGATCGTCAAAGCCAGCTCTATCCTTCTTCAAGGTGAAATCTGCGGTATCTGGAAACGGCCTCTTCACACAGACGAACCCGGAGGTCCGGCGTATAGTTCCGATCAAGAGAGACAACGTTCCGACGGTGAAAATCGTCTACGTCGTCCTCGAGGCTCAGTACCAGTCTTCTCTCACCGAGGCCGTGCAATCTCTCAACAAGACTTCGAGATTCGCATCCTACGAAGTGGTTGGATACTTGGTAGAGGAGCTTCGAGACAAGAACACGTACAACCACTTCTGCGAAGACCTTAAAGACGCAAACATCTTCATTGGTTCTCTGATCTTCGTCGAGGAATTGGCGATTAAAGTTAAAGATGCGGTGGAGAAGGAGAGAGACAGGATGGACGCAGTTCTTGTCTTCCCTTCAATGCCTGAGGTAATGAGACTTAACAAACTCGGATCTTTCAGTATGTCTCAATTGGGTCAGTCAAAGTCTCCGTTTTTCCAACTCTTCAAGAGGAAGAAACAAGGCTCTGCTGGTTTTGCCGATAGTATGTTGAAGCTTGTTAGGACATTGCCTAAGGTTTTGAAGTACTTACCTAGTGACAAGGCTCAAGATGCCCGTCTCTACATCTTGAGTTTACAGTTTTGGCTTGGAGGGTCTCCTGATAATCTCCAGAATTTCGTTAAGATGATTTCTGGATCTTATGTTCCGGCGTTGAAAGGTGTCAAAATCGAGTATTCGGATCCGGTTTTGTTCTTGGACACTGGAATTTGGCATCCACTTGCTCCCACCATGTACGACGATGTGAAGGAATACTGGAACTGGTATGACACAAGAAGGGACACCAATGACTCACTCAAGAGGAAAGATGCAACTGTTGTTGGGTTGGTCTTGCAGAGGAGTCACATTGTGACTGGTGATGATAGTCACTATGTGGCTGTTATCATGGAGCTTGAGGCTAGAGGCGCTAAGGTTGTTCCTATATTCGCAGGAGGGTTGGATTTCTCTGGTCCAGTTGAGAAATATTTCGTAGATCCAGTATCGAAACAGCCCATTATAAACTCTGCTGTCTCCTTGACCGGCTTTGCTCTAGTTGGTGGACCTGCAAGGCAGGATCATCCAAGGGCTATCGAAGCCCTGAAGAAGCTTGATGTTCCTTACCTTGTGGCAGTACCACTGGTGTTCCAGACGACAGAGGAATGGCTAAACAGCACACTTGGTCTGCATCCCATCCAGGTGGCTCTGCAGGTTGCCCTCCCTGAGCTTGATGGAGCCATGGAGCCAATCGTTTTCGCTGGTCGTGACCCTAGAACAGGTTAGTCCACTTATGACCATATTGCATATTTCATAATTTTCATTACACAAGAGTGGGAATGTTTTTTTATTGAAGAGGTTTACCAATTGCTGCAGGGAAGTCACATGCTCTCCACAAGAGAGTGGAACAACTCTGCATCAGGGCTATTCGATGGGGTGAGCTCAAAAGAAAAACTAAGGTATTGTATTACCACTCATCCTTAGTGAAATCACATTCCTTGATGACTTTCACAAGCATGTAATGTGTGTTCTCATGAATCTACTCTGGCTAATTGCAGGCAGAGAAGAAGCTGGCAATCACTGTTTTCAGTTTCCCACCTGATAAAGGTAATGTAGGGACTGCAGCTTACCTCAACGTGTTTGCTTCCATCTTCTCGGTCCTAAAAGACCTCAAGAGAGATGGCTACAATGTTGAGGGCCTTCCTGAGAATGCAGAGACTCTTATTGAAGAAATCATTCATGACAAGGAGGCTCAGTTTAGCAGTCCTAACCTCAATGTAGCTTACAAAATGGGAGTCCGCGAGTACCAAGACCTCACTCCTTATGCAAATGCCCTGGAAGAAAACTGGGGAAAACCTCCGGGGAACCTTAACTCAGATGGAGAGAATCTTCTGGTCTATGGAAAAGAGTATGGTAATGTTTTCATCGGTGTCCAACCGACATTTGGATATGAAGGTGATCCCATGAGGCTGCTTTTCTCCAAATCAGCAAGTCCTCATCACGGTTTTGCTGCTTACTACTCTTATGTAGAAAAGATCTTCAAAGCTGATGCTGTCCTTCATTTTGGAACACATGGTTCGCTCGAGTTTATGCCCGGGAAGCAAGTAGGAATGAGCGACGCTTGCTTTCCAGACAGTCTTATCGGTAACATTCCCAATGTGTACTACTACGCAGCTAACAATCCCTCTGAAGCTACCATCGCAAAGAGGAGAAGTTACGCCAACACCATCAGCTATTTGACTCCTCCAGCTGAGAATGCTGGTCTATACAAAGGGCTGAAGCAGTTGAGCGAGCTGATATCGTCGTACCAGTCTCTGAAGGACACGGGAAGAGGTCCACAGATCGTCAGTTCCATCATCAGCACAGCTAAGCAATGTAATCTTGATAAGGATGTGGACCTTCCAGATGAAGGGGCGGAGTTGTCACCTAAAGACAGGGATTCTGTGGTTGGAAAAGTGTATTCCAAGATTATGGAGATTGAATCAAGGCTTTTGCCGTGCGGGCTTCACGTCATTGGAGAGCCTCCATCCGCCATGGAAGCTGTGGCCACACTGGTCAACATTGCTGCTTTAGATCGCCCGGAGGATGATATTTCAGCTCTTCCTTCTATATTAGCTGAGTGTGTTGGAAGGGAGATAGAGGATGTTTACAGAGGAAGTGACAAGGGTATCTTGAGCGATGTAGAGCTTCTCAAAGAGATCACTGATGCATCGCGTGGCGCGGTTTCCGCCTTTGTTGAAAAAACGACAAATAGCAAAGGACAGGTGGTGGATGTGTCTGACAAGCTTACCTCGCTTCTTGGGTTTGGAATCAATGAGCCATGGGTTGAGTATTTGTCCAACACCAAGTTTTACCGGGCGAACAGAGATAAGCTCAGAACAGTGTTTGGTTTCCTTGGAGAGTGCCTGAAGTTGGTGGTCATGGACAACGAACTTGGGAGTCTAATGCAAGCGTTGGAAGGGAAGTACGTCGAGCCAGGACCCGGAGGTGATCCCATCAGAAACCCAAAGGTCTTACCAACCGGTAAAAACATCCATGCTTTAGATCCTCAGGCTATTCCCACAACAGCAGCAATGGCAAGTGCCAAGATTGTGGTCGAGAGGTTGGTAGAGAGACAGAAGCTCGAGAACGAAGGGAAATATCCCGAGACAATCGCACTTGTTCTTTGGGGAACTGACAACATTAAGACATATGGGGAATCTCTTGGGCAGGTTCTTTGGATGATTGGTGTGAGACCAATTGCTGATACTTTTGGAAGAGTGAACCGTGTCGAGCCTGTGAGCTTAGAAGAACTGGGAAGGCCGAGGATCGATGTAGTTGTTAACTGCTCAGGGGTCTTCCGTGACCTCTTTATCAATCAGGTAATCAGATAAAAGCTTACCCTCTTCTTTTATTTAGATTCTTGTTGGTTGGTCTCTCATGGTGTTTCTTTCTTGGATGGTCTTAACAGATGAACCTTCTTGACCGAGCAATCAAGATGGTGGCTGAGCTAGATGAGCCTGTAGAGCAAAACTTTGTGAGAAAACATGCGTTGGAACAAGCAGAGGCGCTTGGCATTGATATTAGAGAGGCAGCGACAAGAGTTTTCTCAAACGCTTCAGGGTCATACTCAGCCAACATCAGTCTTGCTGTTGAAAACTCTTCATGGAACGATGAGAAACAGCTTCAGGACATGTACTTGAGCCGCAAATCGTTTGCGTTTGATAGTGATGCTCCTGGAGCAGGAATGGCTGAGAAGAAGCAGGTCTTTGAGATGGCTCTTAGCACTGCAGAAGTCACCTTCCAGAACCTGGATTCTTCCGAGATTTCTTTGACTGATGTGAGCCACTACTTCGACTCTGACCCAACAAATCTAGTTCAAAGTTTGAGGAAGGATAAGAAGAAACCGAGCTCTTACATTGCTGATACAACCACTGCAAATGCACAGGTTAGTGAAGCTTCTCCTCTGTTTTCTTCATGCATTAATGTCTATGGACTATAGTTTGAACACATTCCCTAAGGTATTTGTTGAATCTGGCAGGTGAGGACACTATCTGAGACAGTGAGGCTGGACGCAAGAACAAAGCTGCTGAATCCAAAGTGGTACGAAGGAATGATGTCAAGTGGATATGAAGGAGTTCGTGAGATAGAGAAGAGACTGTCAAACACTGTGGGATGGAGTGCAACGTCCGGTCAAGTAGACAATTGGGTCTACGAGGAGGCCAACTCAACTTTCATCCAAGACGAGGAGATGCTTAACCGTCTCATGAACACCAATCCCAACTCCTTCAGGAAAATGCTTCAGACTTTCTTGGAGGCCAATGGTCGCGGCTACTGGGACACTTCCGCTGAAAACATCGAGAAGCTCAAGGAATTGTACTCGCAGGTGGAAGACAAGATTGAAGGGATTGATAGATAAACTAAGCCTATCTTCTTGTAAATGAACTCAAACTTTATTTTTTTGTGTATTACAGTATCCTACCAACGACATTATCTCTCTGTGAATAAGAGAATGTTTTGGCTGACATTTTCTGACTTTATATGAATGTTGGGGAGTTTCTTCTTTCATCTCCTTTCTCATATCATATGGAACAAAACACCCTTTCCATTGCATTGTCCATAGTAGGGCCATGAATAAAACCAGGTTTATTGTTTTAGTAAAATAAGAAGGGAAAAGTTAATTAAAATGACATGAGAGAAGAAATTGCTTGATTTTGGAGGGCCATGAATGTAGCTAGACCATATAGTGGAAGGCTCCAAAAAATAATACATAGGAATGTTAAAACTAGTAAAGAGAAGACAGAAAATAAAATAAAATGGAAACATGAAATAACTAAATATGAGAGTGAGTATAAATAGGAATGGAGAGGGTAATTAAAGAAAAAATAAAGAATATACATTTGGTTCATGAATAATTGGGTCACTTAATAAAGAAAATAATGTGTGTCTAGATGCGTATTCAACATTTCAGTAGATTCCTTATTTTAATCACTCTACCTATCTCTTCATTACTTATCAGTATCACCCAATACACTCATATCCGCGTTGAGAAGAATAACTAATGGCTTCCTCATCAACGTCTTCATCTTCATCTGCAGTATCGGTGACGAGAGACGAGTTCAATGCCTTCCACAAGTGTGACAGAGACCTTTTCAGCCGTTTTGTCGGGCGTCTAAGGCGAGACATTAGCCAGTCTCTTCAGGTCATGAGCTTTCTCCTCTATCTCGAGAAAAGTGGTCTCGTAAGCAACCTAATCGTCAACTTTAATTCTTTACCCGATTTCTTCATCAACGCAGTGGCTGACGAAGTCGTGATGTGTCTGAGTTGTTTGTCCTACGAAAATTTCTCAATGTTTGTTGCCAACTTTGGGCAAAAAACCATACCTTTGATCACGCGGATGACTGGAGAGTACCTTACTCTCGCAGTAATCCACCAGAACCGCGAAAGCATTCTTCTTTCGATGAAGGAGCATTTAAACAGTATATGTTACCCAGCTTTTGAGGATATATGCGTGCAAGCTGAGGAGAAAAAGGTGATGGAGGATATGAAGCAGTTGGGGTTTAGCAAGGACAAGGTTGTTCATAAAGCTGAATCAAGTAGCCAGTTCTTAAGTGGACAACAAGTAACAACAAGAACAAGCAAGATTGGTGCATTTTCTGAGGATGAGCAGGCAAGGGAAGACGACAGGACTGTCTTCCTCACATTTTCTAGAGGATACCCGATTTCCGAAGCAGAAGTGCATGCCTACTTCACCAGGTACGTACTACTATATCCTTTATAAGCTTTGTATGCATATACATAGTGGAGTGTTTAAATGGTAGTGTCTTTTATGGTGTTGAAGGAGATTTGGGGAGATTATAGAAGCGATAATCATGCCTGGAGGAGAAGGGAGTGAGCAGGCGCTGTATGCAAAGATGGTGTTACGTTCTGCAGCCATGATACCGGAGATTGTAAGTGATGGGATCACAAGAAACAAATACACCATTAATGGAAAACATGTTTGGGCTCGAAAATACATTCCCAGATCCTCCATTAATAATCTTGCCCCATCCAATGGAGTCTCTATCTAGTTTTTATTATATCATACTCCTTGTTTGATCTTGAGGACTTGTGTGTACCTTTATCTATTTTTTTTGAACTTTATTTGGTGGTATTCGATATTATATGTTGTTGTAGCAGTGACTTCTATTTTGCATGGACTTTGGGTGCATCTTTCATTTTCTTCTCTTTGTTTATGCAAAATATGCAGTGACTCCTTGTTTTACTTGGCATCTATATAATTAATTAGAAAACATTTCTCAATATCTTTTATTTTTATTTCTGAAAGTTCTCATAGTTCAAAAAATCCATTTTCTTTAGTAATTTTTTTGTCAGCTATGACAAAATATGAAATGTTTTATCGATCGAAGCAATAACAACAAAATATTTAATAAGTTTAGAACAAATGAAACATTACATATCATTTTATTTATCTTATGCAAATTTTAGTACTGGTAATTTTACTTTTATTGGTATAACAACACTAAATTGAAAAGAAGACTTGCACCTATAAAAAAATGATTTTCTATGCATAAACAAGTCTTGTTGGACTGAAAAGATGAAATAAAGACGCAGGCGCTTAAATGCAAAGGGAGTCTGTAACAAACTTAGTCCTAACTCCTAAACTCATTCCTAAAGTTATTATTTATGAGCTTTGTTATCACTTTACACTGTGAAGAAAAGTGGTAACCATAATAAAGAATATGAATATGCTTTAGAAATGGTAGAGAGTGACCGATCACAAGGATGTCGTGGACATATTATACAAAGAAATCGCGATCTCAACACTAATCAGGATAATGATTAGCCACTCCAGAGAAGCTGATTTCCTGTTCTGAAGTATTTCTTGAAGGAAACGAACGTTGTGCTGCAAAATCACCAATAAGCATTATTATCTTCCGAGTTCCGACACAATGACTAGGACAAAGATTGTGTAGATGATAGGATAATACCTCTACAAACTTGAGCTTATAATCAAGGTTTGCAAAACTCTCAGTCAGTTCAAATTCATCTCTAAGAAATTCCCATATCTGACCGTATTTCGCATCCTTCCAAGCTATATCTGACCTGCAAATTTCCCAAAACAAAACATAAGTCAGTCGCAATTATCCACAAAACTAGTCGAGATAGACATCGATTCTTCTTTCTTCTCTCGACTTCTTTACCTCTCAAAAAGACCAAGCTTCAGAATCACATCAGCCTGATTAGAATTAGCCTTTCCAACCAACTGGAACAGCTTTTTCGTTTTCATTGTAAACGTTCCTGTTATCTCCAACTGACGGTTAATGTCAGTAAATTCTGCTACAATACCATCAACCTAACAGAAACAGATTGCTCACCCACAGTTATTTCTTTTCATTTTTCACATTCCAGAATATGTGTATGGATTTGACATGGTTACCTGCCGGCCATAGTAATCCAGAGCAATGCTCTGGCCCAGAACACTGCCTATGGTTCTGATCCCATCAATATACAAGAACTGCAACCTGATAAAATCCCGCCCTCCCTTCATCCATGTGTCCAGATTAGGATCCTCTCTTACTTCATATTCTGCAGTTTTACAGAACCAAAGATGTGAAACAAAGCACCATTGCGAACAGACACAGCAAAAGAAGTGCAACTCACCATCTTTTCTCATTTCTGGAAGCAAACCAGAGGCATGCCTCTCCACTACTTTAAGATATTCATCAACCTCATGTTCCCTTACATTAAACAAGACAATTGATCCATAATGAAATACTACCATGTAAATACACTCACTCCCACTTATGCGTCCATGAGTAGTACCCTGAAACAATAGAATAAGGAATTAACCAATCGAAATAATAGACAGATCATAAAAATTATGAGTGGAAAATCAGATATCAATCCATAGAAGAATCAAACATTTGAGAATGAGATTGTCCAGCCATTAGTTTCTGATGTAAACACTAGTAGTACCTCAGCTTCAAAATAAAGTTAAAAGAATCATCAACTTACAGTGGGATCAGAATGATTGCCGAACTTAAGAACAACATAGTTAGTCATACGCGAAGTAGGTGGGATGAAGTTCTGCTTGTTCTGCTCAATTAAGCTTCTCAAATCAACGCTGCACACAAATTACAATCCAAAAACTACTTCACTTGATCAATTTTTCTATAACACATCCACTTTTAAGCTTAAACGTGAACAAATTATACACTATGAAATTCACTCATCATCATCGATGTCAGGTTAAATGACATTTTGGAAAAAATAAAGGAATCATACCTAGTGGAGAAGAAATAAGCTCGCACAGGAATAGAAAGCTTGGCTTCGTCCTCTAAGCCCTTAGAAACCTCATCATCAACCTCCTCTGAATGCTGATTCTGAAGCTGCTGCTGCTGCGGCTGAACAGAAGCGACGGGCGCCGTCGTAGACGAAGAGATAGCCCTCGCACTCGCAGTGAAGAGATTTCGGATTCCGTAAATCGGAGAATTGGATATCGCTTGGACATTGGAGAAACAACGAGTGGGAGTATTCGACGACGAACGCAGCGACAAGTGCAATGGAAGCGAAAGCGACGGCGGTTTCTGCTTAGAGGTAAAGATCGAGTAGAGAATTGAACGGACGGGAGGGCCTAGGGTTTTTACGTAGACGTCAACGGAACGCATCATTTTGCTTCTAAACAGAGTAAGAGTCACCGGAGAAGAAGATCAACCACAGAGCCGCCTCTCTCCCTCGAGTGGAATTGCAGAATTATTTAATACTTGTTTGAGTATTGAGGTTTATGCGTCCCGTTTTTTTTTTATTTTACGGACTAACAACGTGCTGTTTTATGAGGGTGTAAACGACAAGCATTTTGAAGATAGAATTGAAAAACGGCGGTTTAATTGAAAAATCTATCAGAACTCAGGAATTTAGGGGTGGGCACAAGGCAAAGTGGGCTGTAATGATGTCAGAATTTGCACCAATTTCTATATATTTAGTGATTAGTCAGCTAGTTTCTTTGATCCTACTCGGTGTTCCTTTTCCATTTGCTTCCAATTGTTCTACCTACCCAGAAAAATGATTTTTGTTTGGATTTCTAATTCCTTATAAATCAATGAACCAATAACCCCTCCTAAGATAATATGAAATATATGTATATAAAATGGTAAAATAATAATGAATAACGAGTCAAACAAGCCGAATATAAAATAGTAAAATAATAACGAGTAACGGGTCAAACAAGCCGAGTATTAATTTTTTTTCCACTACTTGTTGCTTGGCTTGTACTTGCAAGTATCCAAATTATACTATTTGGTATTTGGCTTGACAACAACGGATATTTGTTTTTTTAAAGCGAGTACGTAACGGGTATGAGACGAGTAACGAGTAATTGTGTCCAGTCCTACTCAGGATGTGTCGATTGTTCTTTTTTTTTTATTGGGTAATCGAGTATTTATGGGTCTTATTAGGCCCATAGTCTCCTTGGACCAAGAACTAGAACAAATCAACAAAGTAAAATTTTAGATATACGGTTTGTGAGATGAACAAGATTTTTAGAAAATTCTTGGATGCATTGAAGGATTTGAATGGTTACAGTGACCACTTTTTATTCACTATCAGACTTTTTATTAGAGTGTCTCCAATAATCCTATAGCAAGCAAGGATTGCATAAAAGAAAAGCCCAAAACATATTAAACTTCAAGAACAAAAGTGACGAAAGTTTCTTAGACCATATAATATAACTGTCGTTATTAGTTATTGCTCTTCTCCATATATCAGATTTTGGTTTCAGGAATCATTAGAGCGTCCTCACCTCCTTTGCCGCATGGTGAAGTCTTAGTCTTTGATCTCGATCCGAATATCTTAGAGAAAAAGTTGCGTCCTTCTTTTGTCTTGACAAGCTTGTCAAGATCTTGCTTCATGCTCATACATTCTTTTTCAAGCTCGTACACTCGTTCTCTCATCCCATGCATCGCCATATTTGCGTTTCTGTTCTTGTGTCCTTCTAAAGCGCCGCTTTGGTCATTGTTGTCCTCCGAGCCGAATAACCATCCTGCTATAGATGTCCTCAGCCGCATCTGTTCAAAGAACAGGACTTGTACTATGACCCGCAACGGTAGACGCTCGTTTTGTGCTGCGTGTGTGCATGCCTCCAATGATAGTTTCTGGCAGTTCATCAGCAGGCACAACTGTTCTCTCTCTGACTCTGTTAGCCATGGATGAGCCTGTATAGCTCCAAATCAGATACATCATACATGCATTATTTAAATATATGATTACGATCATACTTAGGAAGCCACTCATAGTAACTTTGAAACTAGTGTTTGAAACAATTGAAGAAGATTTAGCTTATAAGGTAGTTTACCTTGATGAAAATATCTATTGCGCGGTAGATACCGTCATCCATTGGCCTCACATCTTCCTGGATTAGAGCACCGAGTGCTTGAAATTTCGATAGTTTCAAGTTCTCATCAGATGCCACCTCTGCTAAGTAGCCGTCTATCAGACTAGCAACCTTTGTGATGGACTTAAGAGGATGAGAATCTCCCATCATTTGCTTCTCCTCAACGATACTTGAATCAAACGTCAACATGAAGTGATCAAGAATCCTCTGGACAGAGTCGATATCATAGAGTGTTTCACCTGAGTATTTCATGTTTGGTATTAGTAGATCCTCTAGAGCAGCTTCGTCTAACTGAACACCAATTCTCTTCTCCAGAGTCTCCTGAGTGACCTGACTCGCGTGCAGAACCATGGATGTCCTTAGAAGCCTGAGCAAGAATTTTGTCTGTGTAACGCACTTTTTTCCGGGGAGTAGTTCCACGATGTCCTCAAGGAGACTTCGTTGATCTTCATGTGAATAGTACATGTCATCTCCATAGTTAGTCCCTTCCTCTGAAGAAGAACCAGATTTCCTAGAACAACCAAGTAAAGGAAGATTCCGTTTCGCGTAGTGTGTGACAGATGCTGCTATGATACCCGCATTTACGCCTCTGGATTCCACGGTTTTGATGAACCTTTTGTACATTGGTAAATCTAGGAACGATGATACATCGTTGAACCACCAGTTTTCGCTCGTGGCCTTTGTTTGTATTCCGTTCCAAAACGTAGTAGTAGCAGTGGTTCCTTCTGGTAGTGAGATTGGCCAGTTGAAAAAACTTGTGTTGTCCTCTGCACAAGCCTTCATGGCTAAAGAACCAATGCACCTAGAAACAATGTGAAGCTCTTCAGCGAGAGGTAACACTTTTGGTTCGCATGATTTCTCCAAGGCTTTGATGGAATCTTCCCAGGTTACGAATACGTGATCGTTGAGGAAACACTCAGTGAGATAGATGAGATTTGCATCTCCATAGTTTTCACTCATTTGGAGATACTCTGCAGCACATCTGAGACTCACTACGTTTTCAGGTGTGACCTCAATTCTTACACCGTAACAGAACTTAGCCACAAGCAAGAAGGTTTCAGGACCACCGGGAATGTCATGAAGCTGAGCAACACAAGTTGTCTCAGATGCTTTGCTAAACAGAGTTTCTAGATATCCACTTCTTGACAACAAAGGAAACTGATGATGAAAACAGGGCAAGTTAAAATTGATCGATCGTATGAGTTAGAAATTCAAAACTCAAAGTTATAATTGGTACCTTATGGAGATGGAAGCTTTGGTCTTCGACTTGGATCATCACATCGGGTTTAAGACCAGTCTTGCAAAGCCTGATCAGATTACAAAAAGAGATGAAACATTTTGTTTTGGTATTGAATGATTTTAAACCATTGAAGAAGAGGACTGACCATGTGTGACCACTTAGATGAAACACTTCAGATTTAGAACCCAGTTTCAAGCTAGCCATCTTTGTTCTTTCACTTCAACTCTTTGGTTTTTCCGCAAATCTAAAAGTGGTGCAAAATGGTTAATCATCAAAACCTCATTAACATATTTGATAAAAGGAAAAATTTTTATAATTGTATTTTGGGTTTTGTTATCTCGGAGAAGTAGGGGTGAGACCGAGTCTGAAGGAGAGATAGATACAGACGAAGCTTTTTTACAAGAAGTTAGCTGTTACAATTTACACACTAAAATTTTGCAGCTTTCGTTTTCCCTTAATATCTGTAACGCCTTCCTCTCTTTCTTCATTTTTCTGTAACTTATTTATGGTGAAATATCTGGTCCCTTTTGGTAAATTCTTGATTTTATATTTTATTATTCAACAGTAATAAATGAAAAAGATATTTGACTGGTCAATTTAGTAGTTGCTAGCTGTTTCACCAATTTTTTATTAGTCAAAACTGTCCATTACGAAAATATAACTCATAATAAGGCCCATTATCGAGACCATCGGACCAGACCAAAAAAAGTAAGTAATTTTATTCCGGATTAGTGTGAGATTAAACCTAGGCATACAAATCGGATTAAGCCGGCATGACCACACCCAAAATCTAAAAAAATCCATATATTGTTCGGCGAACGGCGCAATAAAGTGCTCTATTCTTTTTTTTTTTTTTCACTTGAAAAATAATAGAATTTCTTAATTTTCAATAATCATAAGTTTTGAACATAATTAGCAAAAAATAATGGGTTTTGAAACAACGACCACAACTGTTTAGTCAATAAAACTTCATGAAAAACTATAAGTCTTATACAAATCTTTATATATAAATTTGCTGATCGATTATATAAGTCCGAATATTAATAAATAAATATGTAATAGCCGTATAAAAAAAAAAAAAGGATGAGTCAAACTTGTCTTCTAAAGGCAAAGTTGCTGGTGCAGAGTTGTGTGGCCCTTGTCAAGTTTAGCATCTCTCTCTCTCTCTCGAAAGCTTCTTTCTCTCATATAGTTAACAGTACTTTTGTTTATTTTCTTCCTGGAAACTGCATCATCATCATTCATCACTTAGACCTCTCCATCACTCTTCCTTCTTTTGGTAGATTCCTCCTTTCTCTTTCTTCCCTAATTCTGGAATTCTTCTTCTGTTTACACTTATTTTGTTTGTCGGTTGATTTTCTTACCTTCCAATTCTTCGATTTCTCTGCTCTGTGACTCTTACGTATGGAAAAATACTAGCATCGATCTTGCTTTTACGTATTTGTTTTTGGATAGTTTTTTCAGATTTTTCTCCACTAATAATACTTTCTGATTTACTTTTGTAATCTTATCGTTGACTTCATTTTTTTGGGTTGATTTGTTCTTCTTCCATTCTATAGGGACTTACCTGGTGGTGTCTGGATTCACTTGCGTAGATTAGGGTTTATTTAGATTGATACTTGTGGGATTTATCTTTGTTTGATCTGAAATCCATTTGAATTCTTCTTCTTCTTTTTTTTTTTTTGGGTTTTATAGACGAACCTAATGATGTTGATCTTGTAGGTGTGTTAGTTGGAGTTAGCCTGTAAAAGGTACAAGAGTGAAGTTTGGATATTTATTAAGACCCTCGAGTTCTACTATGTCTGGAAGCCAAGAGGTGGTTATTCCAACTTCAAACTATTCCGACTTTTTTGAAATTCCCATATTCATGTGTTCTCTCTCTCTGTCTCGTTCATCAGCCTAGGATCCGGCCATCTACCTGGAGCTGCAGTGATATTCCAATCAAGAAGAGGAAGTACCTTGTGCAGCCGCAACTGGAAGAAGCTGCCTCCTCACAGATTCCACAACCTAGTGAGCAAGGTGATACTAGTGGTGCTGGTAGGAGTGCCTTGGTTTCATCTCTAGCCGATGAAAATCAGAAAATGACTGGTCCATCTGTTTCTGTGGGAATTGCTGGTAAAGGGAAGAGCATCGGGAACATTATTTTAGACCAAATTAGAGTGAAAGTTGAGAAGCCAAGTTCTCCAATTCACTCCAGTCCTTTGGCAGGGTTTCATATCCCTTCTACTTCCAACATACTTGGCAGTTCTCTCCATTGTTCTCTGGGAAAGCTTCCTGTTTGTGCTGAACACCCTGGTGTTGTTGTCACCTCAGGTGCACAAACTGGGATGAAACTAGAAAAAACTGTTCTTAAGACTCATGATAGTGTCAAGGAGACGTGTGACAAGGAAACTCTCAGAGGAGAGTCTCTAACAGAAGCATCTTCTGGTGATAATACTGTTTCTTTACAGCTAGGTTGTAACACTAAAAACAGTTCTCCATATTGGAAGAATGAAGAGCCTACAGAACTGAATTTGTCATTAAGCAAGGGAGTTTGTCCCGCTCATAACACAGATTCTACTTCTACTTGTACTAAATCTGGCAACAGTGGTGTGAACAGAGAAAATTGGGATTTGAATACTACCATGGATGCTTGGGAAGGTGCTCTAGATCGCACGACTAGAGTTAAGACAACTGGTGCATTCTTAAACAGTAACAGAAGTCTTCGTGACATAGAGGGATCAAGTTGTCGTGATACGACTGCTATTGCAAAGTCTGTTTCTGAAAAACAGAAGGAAAATGTAGGATTTAGTTCTCCTAAGGTGACTTTGATGCAATTTGATAATCAGGTTAACCCCACATGCTCACTTAGTCTAGGCCTCAGTTCATATCCTCCTATTGAGAAATCTCCTTCTCTACCAGCTACCACATCAGAGACAAGAGCTGCTTGTACAAGTTTTTCCAGACCAGTAATGATTGCTGGGAATGTGAATTCGGTGAATCTTAGGACTGTGAAGTCAGAAATCATTGAAGAGAGTGTTAGGCAGGAAACTGAGAAGAGTGCTCAAGTCTGTCCAATTGGGCTATCTATTAAAGGAGTGAAACATGAGGTTGTTGGCAGATTCAGTCAAGGAAATAGTCCCTCATCTGTCATTTTGAAGCCAGTGGTTCCTATATCAGTAAAGTCTGAGCCAAATACCTTCACCCAATCGGAAGTTTTCAATAGGAAAGATGGATTGTTGAATCATCCCCATACACCAATAGTGCAATCAAATGACATCCCTGATTTACCTACAAGTTCTACGCCATATCAGAAGGATACATATATACCTTGTTCTAATGGTATTATCAATGCACCAATGTCCTTAGATGGAATGACAATAGTTCCAGGCGTTCAGATTGATCCTGACTGTACATTAAAAGAAAATTCAGGTCAGAGTAGCAGTGTAGCTAAATTATGCGAAGTGCTGAAACATGGTGGAGTTCACACGACTTATTCATGTTCTGGTCATGGTGATCATAACCTCAATGCTTCAGGTGTGAATGTTACTTCCTTGACTGAAGAGAAAATTGTAGATGATTGCAAGACCTGTATATCGAAAGAAATCCCTCATAATTCTCGTGGAACTGATGAACGTTCTATAAATGATGAAGAAAAGATTATTTTATCTGGTAAGGAGCTAGAGGAACATTTATACAGTTATGGGTTTGAATCAGATTGTGGTCATGATCTATCTAGAGTAATGAAGAAGCAAGTTGAGAAAACAAATTTGTACGATGACGGGAAGGTTCAAGGACCAGCTGCTGTTTTCACGGAAAGAAATGAGGTTGCACATGCCGAATACGGTGGTTCTGAAACTGAACGAAGGAACACTAATATTCCGTGCCATGGTGATTTTCAAAATTCTAACCACGTGGAAGAAAAAGGGAGTCAGCCTGCACTTCTTGATAATACAGGTAATAAAATTTTTAAAGAATGCTCTACCTTATCATCAATTAATAAGTCTAAGAAATATACTGTTGATGAATCATGTTTGAAATTAGTCGAAATGGCAAGTACTGAAGTTCATATTAAGAGGCATACTCCAGAACTTCAAAGTAGAATATTTGATGGATCAGGTGAAAACGAAGGCCGGATAGTTCAGGATGGTGAAGGAATGTCAGGTGTCTCTACAGTGTCAGGCGGCATTGAAAACCCTGAAATAGTAGATAACAGCAGTCCAGTTTCATACAAGGCAGAAATGTCTACTATTGACAATGATCCTCCTGCGGAGTGCAGTGACGGTAGTCAGAGTCGAATTATAAACTTAACTCAGGTTTCTAATAAATCTCCAGTTAAGGCACCAGATGCTTCAGGCAGCTTTGTGCCACCCCGAATGGAAAGAGATAGATTTCATGATTTCCCACTCGAACCGCGGAAATATATTTTCAGAGAGAGGTGATATTTCGGAGCCCTTTTCTTACCTCCATCCTTTCTTGGTTTCATCCCCTATTGAAAACTTTGTGTATATAAATTTTCCATTATTGTTTCTTTTGCTAGTGATGAATCCTACAAATTCTCGCGTGAGAGGTACCATGGCAAAATCATGAGAAGCCCAAGGTTAAATTTCATACCTGATAGAAGGAGATTACCTGATAACACAGAAAGCAATCTGCATGACCAGGACACAAAAAGTAAAGTTCTAAGTTTTTTTTTATGGAAGAACAAAGCTCATTGTTTCTAAAATTCAATATGACTCTCATCTTGTGAATGCAGATTTTGAGTTTGATAATCATGGAAACACTCGTCGGGGTGGTGCTTTTATGAGTAATTTTCAGAGAGGGAGACGGCCTACAAATGACGAAGTAACACCTTATTCTCACTCCTTTCCGAGAAGAAATTCTAGCTTTTCATTTAATAGAGGACCAACAAATAAAGAGGATGCATCTGCATTTCACGGATTTAGAGATGGTGAAAAATTCACAAGGGAATTACAATGTAACAACACAGAACCAATGTTTATGAATCCCCAACGTCCATATCAAGGTCGGAGTGGTTTTACTCGAGGACGAACAAAGTTTTTAAACAACCCCAAACGAGATTTTCCTGGATTTCGTTCACGATCTCCAGTTAGATCAAGAGAACGATCAGATGGTTCATCCTCGTCTTTCAGGAACAGATCACAGGAAGAGTTCAGTGGGCATATAGACTTTTCTCATCGAAGATCACCCTCAGGTTACAAAATGGAGAGGATGAGCCCGCCTGACCATACTGGTTTTTCAAGGGAAATGGTTGTCAGAAGACACAATTCTCCACCTTTCTCGCATAGACCATCAAATGCTGGAAGGGGACGGGGTTATCCAAGGGGCCGAGGTTATGCAAGGGGTCGAGGTTATGGAAGAGATGGCAACTCATTTAGGAAACCATCTGATCGTGTTGTACATAGAAACCATGGAAACTTGAATAACTTGGATCCTCGAGAAAGGGTCGACTATAGTGATGATTTCTTTGAAGGTCCAATTCATTCTGAACGATTTGGTGTTGATGTTAACGCTGAGAGAAGACGATTTGGTTATAGACATGATGGTACCAGCAGCTCTTTTAGACCATCTTTTAACAATGATGGTTGTGCACCTACTAATGTAGAGAATGATCCTGATGCTGTGAGGTTCCGACAGGACCCCCATATTAAAATTGAAGAACAAGGGAGTTTAATGGAAATTGATGGGGAAAATAAGATTTCAACTGAGAATGCATCTGGAAGAACTAAGAATATGGAAGAGGAGGAAACTTCAAAGAACAGTAAAATTTGGCAACCGGATGAGCTTGGTGGTGATGGTTTTTAAAATAAAGGTTAGTATTCAATTTGCTTGAAGCTTCTTAGACCAGAAAGATAGAAGTGATAGTGAATCAGTTATCAAACGGAGCTTCTGTGACTTTTCCACGGCCGAGACCAGTTAGTGGCTGATTATTGTAGACATTCCAATAGCTGATGCAAAGGGACACTCTGCTCTGTTGTTCTAAAAACTTTTGAAATTGGCAATTGCTTGGCTGTGGCCTGTGTATATTTAGCACTTCTGTTGTGGAATCATGGAGATTTCTTTGCCTTTCTTGCTGTGATTCAGTTTCCGGTGTTCTCCTCTGCACTGTCGCACTGTCCGTGTTTAAGTTGGAATGGGTATATGATTGAAGCAAGATGGTGTAAATACATGTGGGAATTTTTCAGGCTTCTCTATACTTTGTAACTCAGCTGGCTTATGTAGAACGATACGGGTCCAACAGATATCAGGGGGAGGAATGGCTAGGGTGATAGAAGAAACACTTTACTCTTGTTAAAATACAGGGGTCCAGACTTTTTACCCGTACAACTATTCAGGCAGGAGAGACGTGCAGGTTTTGTTCTTGATGAACGAGTATCTTTGCCGAAGCACTCGAGTGTTCTACTCGAAGTTAGACTTGCCAGAACCATAACAACCCCAATATATGGTTGAGTTGTAACTGTTATTGGTTTAGGACATTCAGTTTCATCAGCGAAGAAACCAGATGATGGATTCTCATAACATGATGTCATCAATCTGGCTTGCTTGAAATGTTGAAACAGCCACTTATCAGTTGATATAGACAAAAGGAGTGTGAGAAATAAGGGTTTGTAAGTTTGATAATATTGTTTGACCCAATAATAAGCTTTTTAACCTATCAAGTTGAAGCATGTACAGTTTGGTAGAACTGGATTTACTGGCCATGGACGAGAGCAAACTGGAAACGGCCTAAGGTACACCACCTATTTGAACCCAATGTGTTGTTTGATGGTTCCTTATCTTTTTCCTCATTCCAAGTGAGTTTGAACGTTAATGTTGTATCTCTCCCTCCCTTTGAGAAATTTGAGACCTCCCTTGGAGAAAATTGAGGGAAAGGAGTCTGATTGATCTTGTTGCTTTTGTAGTGTAGGCATGTGAAAGATTCGTGGCACAGAATTTTACCAGGTTTAATCAGTAGATGTTGTTAATGAGGGGTTGAAGTGTTGGGAACTGGAAGAAGAATCCATAAGATCTGATTGGGGCATGTGTATGAGTTTGTATCTGGTTCATGTTTCTGAGGCAAGAAACTGAAGTTTATTAGAGGCTGGTGTTATAAGAGTGACGAGACTATAGGCTAAGCTACCTCTTGACTAATGGTTGGCAAATCCATCAACATACGTCATATGACCTTCTACAGAATGTGTAAGGTGGTGCTATTGTACTAAAAAGTTGGCATTTTATAGTTGTAAAAATTTGTTTACTTATCAAACCAAACATGTCAAATATACACACGTCTCATCTGCAAGGTAAACAATATCCAAGTTTGTGTTGTTCAAACTTTCTTCTTTAGGCTAAATACTCAAATTTTAGAAGCATGGCAGCGACTAAAAGAGATGCAATTTGCAGCTATACATTATTCTCATGGATATTTTGCATATAAAATTTCCAAGTACGTATACCCAAATGATTACTAGTTTTGATAATCATAGTATTTTCAGAATTCTCCATATTATAATTCATATAAATAGCAAGTAGTTGAGCTCCAATTCAACAATTTATCAACCACATATAAGAATATACAAGAAAGAAATAAAAGAAAAATACAGAAAACAAACAAAGGTAAACCAAAGTTTCAAATCAGTCCTCCATAAGATAAAACTGAGTTTTGTTTTTACCTCCTCTTGTTTTTGCTACCCAAAAGCAGAGAAAAGTAGAACAAGATTCGAAAGAAGAAGCCCCAAGCGACCGTGACCCACAAGCAATTCCATTTGGTGAGATCCGTAACGCCTTGCTGCTGCAAAATGTCATACCCTGTGGTCAAGCAAGTAGAGCTTGTGATCCTCATCCCAAGTGATTTACTCATAGTTGCTAGAAGCTTAACTTTCATCCCCTGAGGCACCGCGACGAGAGGTGTGTTGTCGAATATCTGAACTCCTCTGACGAAACACTTTGTTGGGTCACCGAATTCGTTTAGTAGCACAGCTTCGTAAGGGTATTTGACTAAAGATATGTAATGGAACCAGATCCAGTAGCCAGGGATTCGATCTCGGTTGATGAAGAATCCACTGAAAAGCAAGAAGTAGGCTAAGATGGCTACCACAATGGTGTAACCGAGCATGACATGTGGGACAACGCCTGATAAGAAGGTGACAAATGAGCTTCCAGCCCAGAAAGAGGCTAAGATTACTAGGAAGTAGAAGAGGAAACCCATGAGACCTCCATCTAAGCCCACACCCCAAAACGTGATTGCTGCGAAAGCAAGCGAGAGGATGATCAAGGAAGGGAGGGCAACAAGTGAGTGAGAGAGTACATAGGAGGATCTTCGGTAAGCGTTGTAAGCGGTTTCTCTCATGAAAATGAAACGTTCTTGGAGGAAAACGGGGAGGGCATCTGCGCAAGTGTAGAACGTTGTGGACATTGCAAAGGCGAAGCATCCAAGGCGTTCTTGGACTCCTTTGGGGGAATTATCTAGCTGCCAAAACATTGTGGCTAAGATGAATCCAGTGACTAAAACAGCTCCTAGGCGTATTCCGAATAGTTCAGGCTGTCTGCGAGAATTAGTCATGGACCGTTTGGCTAGAACCGCGAGTTCGACCCAAAAGGGGTTTGCAAATGTAGGAATGGTGGAAACAGGGCTCGAGCCAGGAGTTGTAGTTGTCGTTGCTCCAGAGACGAGCTTCCCTTTGGAGATGCTTGCACTGATGGCTTCTTTTAAGGACAGACCAGTCTGAGTTCTTGGCTCTGCTTTCCTCTGTCTAAACCCTTTGTTGAATTCAACTAAACTTCTTGTTCCACCAGCTGATCCTTCCAGCTCACGGATCAAATCCAAAGCGAACTCGGTGCGGTTTTCGTGTTCGGGAATTGGGTGGCCAAACTCAGCAAAGAAGCGAGGTAGCATCGCAGGCGATCCGCTGAAGACAGTTTGGCCACGGGACAAGAAGAGAAGACGATCAAGCAATCGAAGAAGACGGTAACTAGGTTGATGAAGAGTCATGATCACCATACTTCCACTCTGAGCGATTCGTTTAAGAACCTTAATGACACTTAGAGCACTTGTAGAGTCCAAACCCGAGGTTGGTTCATCGAGGAAAAGCAGAATCGGATCATGGATGATATCAATTCCAATTGAAACTCGCCGCCTCTCTCCTCCAGAGATTCCACGGTGGCCTTCATCTCCGATCACGGTATTTGCTGCGTTTCTAAGTCCTAATTGATCAATCAAAGCTTGGACACGGAGACTCTTCTTTGATTTCGAAAGGCTTCGCGGAAGACGAAACTCGGCGGCAAACATTAAGGTTTCTTCAACTGTAAGCATCGGAAAAAGAAGATCGTCTTGCATCACATAAGCTGAGATGGCTTTCTGCATTTTCGAATTGAGAACTTCTCCGTTTAGAGTTACGTTTCCTTTCAAGCTTCCTTTAGCGATTCGATTAGCTAATGCATCGATCAGTGTCGATTTTCCGGAGCCACTTGCTCCGAGCACAGCTAGTATCTCTCCGTCTCTAGCCTCTCCGGAGATTCCGTTGAGGAGCGTCTTCGTTTTGGAAGAGAAGATCCCCTCCGACGGAGCTCCGGGATCTGAAGAAACGCTGCGCCTCCATGTGAACTTCCGGCGAACTTTGACGCTGTAAGTGAGATCGGTGAACGAGAGAACGAACGGTACGGATTGGTCGGGCGAGGCGAGATCGACATCAACGTGATGCTGGTCATGACTACGACGCGTCGTGTCGTCGACGTTTTGCAAGAGCTGTGCGAACGTTGTTGGAGAAGACGAGGCGCCTGAGACATTGCCAAACTCCGGCGAGAAGAGCGGCAACGCCATATTGTCGTCTGCTGCGACCACACGAGACATTCTTCTTTGGGTTTGTTGCGATTGTGAAGCGGGAAAAATCAATAGACGGAGAGAAAAACTACCGTTAGCAGGAGAAGAAAAGAGGAAAGGGGTTTAAGTGTTTAACCAACGATTTAACTTCTATTTCTATTTATAGATAAATTCTCAATGTGGTTGGGCTGATTAACAGGGTTTGATTTTAAGGATTAATTTTATGGAAGAGTCAAAGTCACAAATGCTGATGCTTATGTAGATGAACCTCCAAACCTAAACACAAGCAAGTAAAAGTGTAAAAACACAAAATGCCACATGTCCGTTTCTCTTTCTTTAAAATGTTTTCGTATAGCAATCAAATATATATTTTTAGGCTACCCTTGCCGAATTTAGGCCACCATTCCCCCACCCACCTTTTATACTAACAAATTAAGTTGCAATGTGAAAAAGTAAACAATTTCAAGACATATCTTGTTTCCAAGGTAATCATAGTATTTACATAAACTTAACTTTATTTAGGTGTGACTTTTTGTTTTATAGGTGAGTTCATTCTTCATTTTAAAAAGAGAACACTTTCTGCTTCGATTAAGCAGTTAGAGGCGCTATTAAGAAGATCATCAATTCACTACTCGGATAAGAAACTCTTTTAACCTTTATAGCTGGTCGCAACCATTGTCATCTAAAGCCATGATCCAAAGGACTCACCACTTCCCTACTAACAACCATCATGTACAACAACCCTTTCATTCTAGAAGAAACGAGAGGTATATAAACCAAATGGCAAAGAAATAGAAAGGTACCAGCGTGTATGAACATATCCAACGGTTTTGCTATACACAAACCCACCAATCCAACCGCATCATAACTCCCAACACCAATCCAACCCATATATGACTGCCTGACTGACCAGCCAAGCTATTCCATCGCCTGTAAGATAACTGACTTGTCGAACTTGAAGTTTATGAAACTGTCTGCAGGTTCTATGTCCTGAGAATGGTCGACTTCAGGCTTTGTATTGTGGCTTTCTACTGTTGCTGTCCCGAGTTCAGGCTTTGTACTGTGGCTTTCCATTGTTGTTTTCCTGGGTTCAGGCTTTGTATTGTGGCTTTCCATTGTTGTTGTTCTGAGTTCAGGCTTTCTATTGTTGCTTTCCATTGTGGTTGTCCTGAGTTCAGGCTTTCTATTGTGGTTTTCCACTGTTGCTGTCCCGTTCCCTCCAAGACTAGTCCTTGCATTCCACACGCAGAGTGCTGTACAAAGAATATGAAGTCAGATCTCTGCCAGAAACCTCTCTTTTAGTGAATGCTTGGTAAAAAAGACGTCAAACCTTTAAGGGGCTTGTTATGTCTCCGTGCTACAGGTGAAGGATGCTTTAATATCCATGACTTCAACGACCTGCACAAGTTTGTAATCTCTATTGTTATGCACCAAAAAACAAAAATCACCCAAAAATCTATGTGGATAAATAGAAAGCCACTACTACTCACGAAAGAAATGGTGCCACCATGTACAATTTGAGACCAGAAACTCCATGAGTTATCACCTCATTATTTGCTGGCTGAAGATGATCAAGTCGATGCCATGCGATTTCCTACAGTATTCCACAACAGAAGAACATAAGAGACTCATCATACATACGCAGACAAGATCACACCCACAAGGTTAACTGTTAAATACACACACTGATTTCCTTCTTTGTGAGTGGTGCAAAAACTGTATCCTCTTTCACCCCAGCGACTATGTATAGTCGTACTCTTTGCTGCCTGAAAACAAACTCTATATATTCTTCTTTCTTGAGTAGCTTTGAGACATCAAATCCAGTTTCCTCTAAGACCTGTGTTTAGCATGGAAGAACAGTACATAAGAAAGCCAAAACAAGTGTGACAAAATATTCAGTTTATTCAGAATTAACCCATAATCCAAGTCTATACAAACAATCAGCAGAAGAATTACAGCACCAGGAGAATAACACTAGAGAGCTACAAGTAAACCTTTTGGGCTTTGACCATTTCTATACCAATAAAATAGTAAAAAGATACAGAGAGCCTATATGGTTGACCATTGACAGCAGCACTATTCTCATTTGCAAAAGATCCTGTCTACTGGTGACATAAGAACATTTCCTTCCTCAAAAATATAAGCTCACGTAGGAGAATCTATTTCCAGTGGCTAAGGTGTATGTGCTATGATCAAACTGTTAGATTAGTGTGAAAATAAGTTACCCTGTTGTCAAGAGCAGAAGATATAAGAGAGGTTCTCTTTGCTATTCTTTCACATCCGTCATCTATACTTAAAAGATTCATGCGCACATTACGTTGACACATCTTCATATGTCAACAGCCAATAAATTAGAACCAATGCACCCACTAAGTGAGGTTAATCTTACTCAATAAGCAGTCTTCTTCTAATTACATAGTATTCGTTATTAATATGCACTTATGATCAAAGAGTGGCGGTCGTTGGAGCTATCAATTTTGCTACAAAAGTGCAAAATAAATGAACCACACAAGAGACAGGAAAACGAAAGAATTGATGCTAACCTCACGTATG